TTCCCTCCCGCGATCACCAAACTGTGGATACAAGTATTGTTTTTGTTTTTGCTTAATCCCTTCACCTTTTCCACCCAGCCCCCCAAACCCCTTCCCTTTGACAGCTGTTCTCCGTATCTACGAGTCTGTTTCTATTTTGTTAGTTTATTTGGTTCATTAGATTTCATGTGTAAGTGACATTATATGGTCCTTGCCTTTCTCTGACTGGCGGGCTTCACTTAGCACAATGCTCTCCCGGTCCCTCCAGGCTGCCGCAAAAGGGCAGATTTTTTTTTTTTTTTACAGCTGGGCACTTGGGCTGCTTCCAGTTCTTGGCTATTGTAATAACGCCGCAATGAACATAGGGGTGCATAGTTTCTTTCAAATTAGTGTCCTGAGTTTCTTCGGATATATTCCCAGAAGTGGAATCACTGGGTCATAGGCAGTTTCATTTCTAACTTTCTGAGGAACCTCCGTCCTGCTTTCCCCAGGGGCTGCCCGGGGCTGCGTTCCCACCAGCAGTGCACCAGGTTCCCTTCTCCACACCCTCCGGGCACTTGTTTGCGGACTTGTTGATGGAGCCATTCCACAGGTGGGAGGTGCTATCTCTCTGTGGTTTTAATTTGCATCTCTGATGATTAGTGACAGTCAGCGTCTTTTCATATTCTCTTGGCCATCTGTGTGTCCTCTTTGGAGAAGTGTCTATTCAAGTCCTTTGGCCATTTTTTAGTTGTGTTGTTTGTTTCCTTTGCTGTTGAGTTTTATAAGTTCTTTATAACTTTTCTGAAGTTCTTTCTGAGGGCTGAGAGTTTGCCGTGAAAACCTGTGATGCCTGCAGTTTGGATTTTTCTGCTTGGCCCAAGTGGAGAAATCTCTCTTGTGAAAGGGATTATCAGAGAACTGGATATAAATGCTATTGTTTCTGTTTGGGTTGCATTGTCCTCCCTCATCTCCACCCCACTGTCCGCTGAGATAGCCTCCCGAATTGCCTCTAGCAACTCAGTCCTCCTGCAATTGTAGACAGGGCTCCCCATATTTTGACTCATAACACTGAATTAATATAATTAAAATGAACTTGCACTCCCTCCAGTTACTCCGCATTTAAGATTTTGATGAGAATTCTGAACCGATGTTTCAGGGCCATGCTCCTCACAGTGTGGTCCTGGGACCAGCAGCATTAGCATCGCTCTGGACTTTGTTATAATACAAACTCTCTGGCTTCGTCCCAGACCCACTGAATCAGAAACTGCAGGGATGGGTTTCGGGGTCTGTGTGTTAACAAGCCTTCCGGATGATTCCCTTGCTTACATTTTGAGAATTGCTGGTTTAGGGAAATAACTTTTTATGATGAAAACAGCTCATATTTATTGAGGCTTTACTCTGTGACAATACTATTATGAGCATTTTACAACTACCAATTCATTGAAAGTTTACACACAACCAAAATACCATTTGCAGGTGAGGCACACAAACATGACTCACCCTGTCACTGAAGTTTCTAGGTGGAGAAGCTGAACTGGACTCAAACCCAAGCAGCTGGCACTAAACCTGAGCGTTTAACCACAGAACTGTGGCCACCTCACTTGGTCAAACATTGGGAATGTCTCATATCCAGTGGCTAGGCATCCAAGTGATTTATAGTTAGTACTGAAGAAATTGGATACCGAGGTAGAATTAGAGAATCAGGGACTCAGAGTTATGAGTCACTCTGGAAGCACACATGATGCGAACATGCTCTTTAGCTCGGCAGAGCCGACATGGTTCTAGGCAGATTGACATGGGATATCCAAACTTGGACACTTACTTTGGAAATATGACACATTTGTGGGTCCTTGGTATCCGGTTTTTCTTTCAGTGCTTTTTGGCAACCAACCTCATGGCTTCATATTCTTTAGTCAGTTTCTAACCATGGTCCAGACCTCAGATTCCTGCTAGAATGAGCCAGGGAAAGAAGACTGTGACATGTAATTCTCATGTTCCCAGGATTGTTACCTGGGTCATTTTTTTGCTGTCAGTTTTTAAAAGAACTCTTGTTTGGAGTGTTTGCTTGTTTTAAGACTTCTTATGAGAAGAATTTCTACAACTGCTTTGTGCCAGAGTTCTCCATGTATTTTCTACTTTTCATTTAATCTGCCAGAATTACTAGAAATTTGAAAGACAATTTGTGACTAATTCTAGTTCAGTTTGCCCTATGTAATAATAATAATGTCTATAATTGCTTTTATAGTTGGTGCATGTATGTGCCAAAGTTTTTATATGTGTTAAGTCTCAGAAATATTCTTCTGAGGCAGGTGCTAAAATTATACCCATTTTTCAAGTGAGATTGCAGAAGATAAAGGATGTTAAATGATTCAGAGCCAGAATGCAATACTGAATTAATTTAAAACTGTAAAGCCCCTGCTCTTAAGCCCTATATTTCCCAGCCTCTGTTTACATTGACGCTGGTGTAAAGTTTGAAGGCCCACAGCACATCAAAGATGGAAGTATGGCCATTCCCTTCTCCAACCATACTTAATAATGCAATTCGTTTCTACAGATTCTTATGCTTACGAACTGCCTTCGCGGTTGAATGTGGCCTTATTTAATATCTCTAAGATATATGTCAAATCCAATAACAATAACTATTTATAGAGAATGAGGCTGAGGTTGATGAGCCGTAGGATTTGCCTCGCAGTTGGGCAGGGGCACGTGCAGTTCATCTGAACTCCTGAACAGGACTCTGCTCATGAACCTCCTCTGTCAGCATGCTTTGCCGTTTTAATTGCCTCTCGCCATAGTTTCCCTAATATTTTTCTTTCAGTCACTCCTTTCTCCTTTTTACTAAGTCTCTTCCTAAACAAATATCAGTAATTTCACAGGTTTGATATTCTTTCTAGTAACCGTGACAATAAAGAGACATCACCACGGAATTTACTTCTGCCCTCATCTCTATGTCACTGACACTGGTGTTTCCTTTCTGATGTTCACATCCTTCGTACGCCTCATCTTTACCACGACCCACGCCACTCTTCACCTCACACCCAAATCAGAGCACTGAACACCAGCAAACCAAACTCAAGCATTTACAAATCACGTATCGCCTGCCAAGTATACCTAACCATGGATTTTACGACTCATGTTCATGTTAACAGATAAACAGATTTCAAAACTGTGCAAAGCTTTTAAAATCAGATACAAGCAATACCAGCTCTGAGCCCCATAA